AAATATGTTATAATATATGTTATTATATATAATGTTCAATTTTAACAGTTTTTATTGGACTGTACTTTAGGCAATATTATATTTTGCCATTTTTGTTATAAGATAATGTTTCTTTTCTACTGTAATAGAAATACATTTTCAATTTTGATATGTATTTTAAATACCAAGTTAAGCACATAAAATAAGGCTAATTTTAAGTATTTAAAAGAAGCATATATTGAAACAGATTATTGCAAATCGTAAAATTAATGTTGTTTCTTTTATCAAGATTTTTTTACAAGTGATAGACACAAGAAATTAAAAATATCATTATATTCCATGCTTTAAAAATAAAAAACGTGACATATATCATATACATTTTTTATAAAAACAGTATACAAAATGGTGTTAGATTTTTACATAGATATTTTGAAGTAAATATACATAATATGGAGCACATAATATACATAATATATATACACAAAACACATGAATAAAAGTATTTTACAGAAATTAGAATATAAATGTATGTAATTAAATAATGAAAATGTTGCAAAAATGTTGCAAAATTAATATATAATACATACACTTTTTTTATCCTTTGGAGTGCCTTCAACCCATCTTCAGTCAGGTTTCTTAGCACATAATACACACACATAACTACACACGCACATTAACCTAACAGATTCTGATGTATATGACAGATAGCACTGAGAACTATATAGCGCCTCTAAATCATAATCCGGGAACTAATGTACCGTTCTGTTTTACTCAATATGTCATACACGCACGCACACATATACAAAAATTTTCACGGATTTATTTCTAATAAACTAAGCTTCTAAGTTCAATTTTGAAGGTTCCATGTTGTTTTTCCGTATAATCTAGAGTGCGGAAAGATACACAAGTTGCATAATTTATACATAAAGAGAATATTGTCACAAATTGACAGTTTTGAAGGTTAAAAAAAATCTTTCTTTTTTTATTTCTTTCTTGCTTGCCTTCAAGTCTAGGCTTCCGTACTTTATTATCGCGTGTATTTTAATCGTAGAAAAGGATTTTTCATTCTTTGCAGACAATAAAAAGATCCTCGCTCGCGAAAAAATCGTGTTCAATCGGTAACTCCAGCATTCTCTTAAATTGCCACGGTACTGATCTTTCATTACAAAAGAATTCGCGAAATTCATCACGAATTGTCATACAGTTTCGAGTATTTGTGTTGGTTCCACAATTAGTGATATCATGAAATGCGCATCCATCCTCCATTACTGTCCGCCAAATTACTGCCTGGTCGGAAACTATTTAAATTTGTGCTTTCTTTGTCCATCATGTGTAGGGGGACATACATATTTCTTCCGATATTTTTTTTTTGGAGCCAGTTATGCAGACACACTGTTGCTTGTACGATGAATTCAGCAGTTCGTGGCAGACCAATAATCGGTTTACGATACACTCGCCACTGACTCGCTAAAATGGATACGCGAAAGAAGCTATGGTCCTTACGGTCTTTTAAGTATGGAGCTACCCAGTATTGTTTTTTTTTCGTAGCCCCGCTTCTTTTGTGTTCTTTGCAACTCCAACATTACAGCAGTTGCTATCATTAACCGTTGCTTTCCGACTGCTCTTGCTACTGCTGTTCCCAAAATATTCGCACACTTAGCGGAATACACCTCGTTCGAACGTATTGTTGCCTACATTTTCATTTACAGCTCTTCAATTTCTACTATAAACAATAACCTATGAAAATGCTGAGATTGAAATCGCTAGCGATTTGTCGTCACATGAATATGTAGCGGGAAAAAAGCGACGGATACTTATCGCAACGTCATTTTTCCCCCACTTCTCCCAAGTCGCCAGCGATTTCTCGCTGCATGAATCCGTACCTTTAAAGTGCCTTCAACCCATCTTCTTTAGCTGGTTTTCTAGCACATGTCACACACACACACACACACACACACACACACACACACACACACACACACACACACACACACACACACACACACACACACACACACACACACACACACACACCCACCACCACACCACCACACACACACACACACGCAACTAACACACACATAACCTATAAGATTCTGATGTTATGACAGATAGCACTGAAAACTGTATAGCGCCTCTAGATCATAATCCGTGAACTAATCTATTGCTCTGTTTTATCTTACTACCTCGATTTACACGCACACATTTATAATAATTTTTAAGAACATTTTTCTTTTATTTTACATTCCTAAACTCAATTCTAATGGTCTCGTGTCATTCGTCCGTATAATCTAGTATGCGTAGCCTCTTGTTTAGTATGTACAAACTGCATAATTTTATTTTCATCCAAAAGTTTGTAAACACAAATACACTTATTTAAAACACAAATAATACATATAATGGAATACTTATTTAATTTGTTTTCTTTCTTTGCTTAAAATTTGTACCCTCCACATAGTATTAGTGTATAAACTTTAATTCTGGAAAAGGATATATTCTGTACAACCAAAAAAAAGATTAGCTTGCCCAAAAAAATCTAAAATTTTGATCGGTAAAATAGCACTTTAGCATCGCCTTAAGGGTTTTTAAATCTGTTAAGACTGATTTCGATTCATTCTTTCTGGTACAAAAGGGGGAAAAAATAAAGCAGAAGTTAACCATAAAATTTCAAATGGCTATCTATATAAAATCAATTATACAGGATGTCCCATTTTAAATTACGCACCTGAATATCTCGTCAGGGGAGCCACTAATCCAAAAATAACCCTTACAAAAGTTGTTGGGTTCGGAGGGGGACA